CCCCAAAACCCCAAAACCCCAAAACCCCAGTTTTCTAAAATTGTAATAATCTTTAGCAAATCGCAATTATCATAAGTTATAATAGGAAAATCTTTAATAAAATGGCAAATATAAAAATGATAACTTCTCCTTTACTGCCTGAAAATGAAAAACTGAGAAAACTTTATCAAATAGAAAATGAAATAGCTCTTGACCTAGTTAATTATATATTGACTGGTAAAAACCATAGTTGCAAAGCATATCATCACTATGGTAAATGCGAAGACAGAGCAGTGTTAAAATTCAAATAAATTTTTATGAAAGTACTCAAGATAAATCTACCAATACATGTCATCCCTTTACTATTGTTTAGAAGAAAATAGCTATTGACTGAGCCAGTATAAACTCTTAAGAAATTTGTAATAAATATACTGAGATCTGTGATGTTTTTAACTGGATTTGTAATAATTTCATAGCTTATATAATGCTACGGCTCTCGCTTATTCCCTTGGCTACCCACCAAGCAATTGCATATGCTGTCTTTTGCTTTTTCAGGTGTGGCAATGGCTTTTGAACAACCACATAAAAGAGTGGAGCTAAACTATTTCACATTACCTAAAGTTGCTGAGTGTATATGGAATCTCCTTTGTAGTCGAAAACTTGCTGGGGATATACCTAAACAAGAACATATAGTTTTTGCATTATCTTTTGGTCTGATCGCTATGGCCTATGATGAAGGAAAGTCTAATGTAAGCATGAAAGGATTTACTTCAAAAATTTGTGGTTATTTGTGGAAAAAAACTGAGCTTTAAGGTAAAGATGAAAATTAGGAAAATATCAAATCAAAAGATTCCTCAAATGAAATAAAAAATGAGTAAGACAATAAGAATTAAGAATAAAAACTGGCCTGAATAAGAAATCTATTATGTTAAGGATTTATTTAATCATAAATTAAAAGGATATGAGATGGATTTGACTTATAATATAAATTCTTAATATTTATTTGTAGTTTAAGCTCGATTATTCTAATCTTTTCTGACGGGGTTTTGGGGTTTTGGGGTTTTGGGG